CAAATTAACCTAGGGATGGTGAGTGGTACACGAAAGAAGGAAAACCATGAGAAACGGCCCAGAACCCGAGAAATGGGACCCCTTCCTTGCCCGTTGATTTGAGCATTGATGCGACTCTCATCGCTGTGCCCTCTTCAACACTACGCTCTCTCAGCTATCTAATCACTCGCCACGTATTGAACTACGGCGAGTGATCAGATGATCGGTGGGCGGAGATCGCCGGACCCGCCAGCTTTGAGGCATGATAGGTCGCCGAGGTCAAATTTTTCCATGCGAATTGCGCGTCAGTTCGCACCCTCAGGAGGTCCGTGGGTCCCTCAACTAGGTCAGTTTCCCTTTCTTCGACCTTCATTCTAATCGTGAATTCCTCCTTTAAGGAGGCTAAGCATGTAATGGAACGCAGATATTTCTCATGGTTCTGAGAGCCTAAGTGCACTGCACCGCAATGCCTCCCCCTCCCTGTACACCAGTGCATATTCCACCAAACCACGGAGCATAAACGAGAAATAATGATGTACCAAGCAGTAATAAATTAGGCCAAGAGCTCACGGTAAATATTCCGAAACAGCAAGGAAAGAAGTCGTACCACTAAATAACTAAGCCGGCAGTAGTTCTTTTTTTAAGAACAATGTCTTGCTGAAGTGTTGACGCAGAGTCAAACAAGCTGTAGTGGGCACTCGCTCTTAAGGTGCTTCAGCAATCATATCCGTCCGAAGAAGAAAATATTTTGCTCGAAACGAAAGTGAGAGGATCAATAAAGGATTCAAAGGAGGAAAATGTGGACTTGAACGAAATGCAGAGAGAAAAGCAGAATAGAGCCAATCAAGAGAACCAGTTTGTTGAAGTGTAGAGGAACACTGAGAAGGAAAAGAGAAGAAATATGGGTATGGGTTTACGAAAATGGAAAGTCTAGGAGAAAATGCATAGATACGTTGATGTTTTTATTTGCGATTATTGATGCAGTTCTTTTTCGATTAGGAATGGGTTTGGAGTTGAACACGTGCACGATGAACCTGCACTGGCGAATAAATTTTGGTAGTTGGTGAAGTTAACACTCGCTTTATATAGAGCTGGTCGTCTGTTCTCTCCCCGGGACGTGTAATTGGGATGGGATGAGCTCTTCCATATACAAAGTTTGGATTTGAATACTTTTCCTATTGACATGATGGTGCTATCTCTGAGTCAAGTTTTTATTGATTTGTGATGTCGGAAACTCCAGTTTTTCGTTCTTACTTCTTTATTGACGAGCTTTCGGCATTTAGCGCCTTCTTCTGGCCTTAATTCTGATATAATACTATCGATACATTTAAGAGTATACAATACAATAAGAGGCGTCTACCCGGTCCACCACTTACATATCGGCACGCAAGATCCTTTCCCTACTTGGTCGTGTTGTTTATTGTGATTGCTATACTCTTTGAATGTATCGATAGTATTGGCTCGATTAAGGACAGAAGAGGCCGCGCGAAAGGTAGTCAATCCAGTAGAACGAAAGAGGCTTTGACTACTCATTAGAAATTTTCTTGTTAAAAAGCGTGGGCTTGTTCGGCTGAGTTGGCGGTGATGTGATATGCGACTTTTCCATTATTTATCTACCCGAATTTGATGTTCCCCATTGAGATAGATGTAAGAGTGTAGCGATGTCACCGGTGCGGACTACTATAGTATCAAATTGTGACGACGAAAATGATTTTTAGACCTGTAACGTGAATATGATTGAAAAAAAGAACGATTGCGAAACTGTTCTTTGGAATTGTTTGGTGCGTTGGAAAGACAGTGGGTGCCGAACTCACTCGCGTGTTTTAGGTGTATTTTCTTGTGAGCGTCACAATTTGCTAAATTTCTATGCAGGTGCATGTGCAGGTGGACTGTGCTTCGCATGAAGTTCGTGCGAATGATGCTGTGCATTATGCGTTAAGAATAGAAACGTAGTGCAGAGGTCGACCTAGAAGTAGGAGGCAAATATTCAGAATTAGAAACAAGGACGTTCACATTTGAAGCTGACTGGTGTAAACTCAAGTTCCCATACAACAAGCAAATAACGGTGACTCAAGATGTTTATGAACAAATTTACCTAATTTTTCAGTGCAGGTGGCAGGCTAGGCACTTAAGGGAACGAGACATGAGGTCTCCGCGGCGAATGATGCGCTTGTAGCGACTTGATATGGCTTTACCCGGGATAATCCTCTGCAGCAGTTTTCATCCAGTGTGGCTGATGCAGGGAATGCGTTTCGGGTGGCTGTTGACTGTTATCGATCCTTTGTTCGGTTGTCAGTTGAAAAAGCATTGCTTCTATGCGGGGCGTATACCTGTTGTCCTGAATGCTTTATGATAGGATGGATTGTTGATCATCGATACCGGCTGTCGGTATCACCACTCCCCCTATGACCTCTGCCTCAGTAGCTAGCTCGTTGCGGAAATTAAGAGATAGAAAGGAATCTTATTTTGCAGGTTGTAAGCCATTTCTCTTATTTTTCGTTCGGGCGGACTGTCGTTCTTAACAGTACGATTTTGCCCGGATCACATGCATTTGACGTCGCTTGTTATTACGCATTTCTTACAAGTTGGATTTTGGCTTTCACTTCCACAAAGATATTTTTCAATTAGGAAATGTAGAAAAGTAACAGCTAGTCAAACTACGTTCTAATGCTCTGAGCGTTTACGCGAATCATTCCATTCCTGTGATGCGCCGCGCATTAGACTCGGCTCAGGATCGTGATTGCGTTTTCGTATAACTATTCAGCACCGGATGAGTATGTAACAGTGTTTACGCATTTTATGGTGCCGTAATAAATTACAAAATATTATTATGCGCTAGAAACGGATAAATCCCGTAGTATCTATCTACTCCTTGCTTTCATCGCTTCGTGTCTTCTTGTGCCTTAATGTCTCTTGGTTTTTCTTTTCGAAGGTGAATGGTAAAGAAGCATGAACGTTTGCGCGCATCATTCCATTCCTGTGATGCGCGCGAATTTAGACTCGGCCTTAAAATTACGGTGGTCAAGTTTGATTGCATTTATAAGCGCCTAGATAACTGAGCGAGCTGTCCAAGTGCTTTAGAGTTGGTAGCCATTCAAGACGTACGCTATTATGTGAACTTCTGCTCACGAACACCGATTTTTGCCCCGCGGATTCTGTTTTGGCCACAGCAGGTCTGGAGTCAGGTAGGTGTTTGAGAGGGCGGAAGATGTGTAGTGGCAAGTGCGTTTGCAACTCGGGAACAGTGTCAAGCATCGGCGTCTGTCTAAGTTGGGGAGGGGGGGAGGACACTATGTGAATGAGCCCTCACCAGGCAGTATCGGTCTATCGTTGTTGTTTTGTGTAAAGTTTGATTAAACCCCCTAGCATCATGAAATGTTCAACGACCCTTCAAATACCCGTTTCGAGCGGGAATGTGTGCTATGGGAATTATATCCTTCTATTTTATAAAGCGCTAACTTTGTGTGTCGGTTTGTGTATCTGTATGTGTGTGTGTGTGTGTGTATGTATGTGTGTCCGTCCGCAAAATGAAGTGAGTGAGAAGGAAGCTCATGGGATAAACAAACCGCTAACAAATCGGGTAGCTTACAGGATTTGAGATATCAATGTTTTGTAGCAGGATAGTTGTGATAACACTCTTAGGGCTATATAAACACCTGCTTAGCACACTTCCGTTCATTCCACATGGTGCTGCAGTGGCAGCTGGAGGGCAGTGGAGAGAGGAAGGGAGGATGAGGAAGGGAAGCGAAAAATCTACCGTCATATCATGATTGTGTCCCTTCTACTGTTTGAAACACCATTGTGTTGCATACGCGTCTTCATTTCCGGCATTTCGGGTTTGGTGTCACAGGTTGGAATTTTTTTGGCCATAGCGGTGGGATCGGAAAGTGCGCAAGACGGGAAGTCCCGGTCGGTTGTTTTGGTACTCACTTCATTGTCCATGTTTCTACCCATATTTCAACTTCTCTTTTTGCTATTAAGGTGGGCGGGGGGGCACTGAAGCGGCAATTTTCTTCCCGCCGCGCTCCCCACGATACATGCAGTTCTTTATAACCGACGCAGTACGACCCTCTTCCCCGCTACAAATCAATAGCGACCCCCATTGCTACTTGTCAGCAACATTAGCGTATGATGGTGGTCTCCTTGGGCGTTTGTCTGCCTTGCCTGGGCTCCGGTGAGTCCTCAGGGTTGTCACTGCCAGGCCCTGTTTGAATGTTAACCCCTGTTTATCTCTGTGCCTTCTCAGTGGTCTGGCCTGAGCCCCAAGTTTCAAAGTGTGGATGATGTTGCCTCCTTTATCAATGTGGGGGATTTTGCTCCCGTCCCTGACATCGCGGCAAAAATTTGGTTGCCTAGGTGCCGTGTTATTTTATGATTGGGTATAGTACTCGAGGGCTATCAGGGTGGGATTCAGCCGTAAGGAAAGTGTCATTGATGAGGAGTCATCCTTTTCATCAGCGTCCTTTGATTGCAACTTGATAATGATTAATGGGATTGCCGTAGTTTTTCGTATTGCTCAAAGTCGGCAGTATACGAATACTCGGTTATGTTAATTGTCCACAAGAGCCTCAAGAGTACGCGGAAAGTGAAGTCGGTAAGCGCATTTAGGCGATCGGCCGCTTCACGGAATCTTCTATGAAAGAAGGTTCATTGCTAGTGTCCATTGTTAGAAGATCACATGTTAGCCTCGTGACAGTGTTGATCTTACTGATCTATGTTCACTTTTACTTTGCGAAGCATGCTTCCTTCTTATATGTAACTTTGTGCCTATTCCAGCCGAAGCACGGTCTCGCGAACACCGCTGCGGATTGAGGCTTAGCTATGTGGCGCTGGCGAGCAGTAGTTGCGCTTTTCACGCGCGTGTGTTGACACACACATAGTCTTTGGGAAGAAACGCTTTTCTCAAACCTCTCATGCTGTAGCTTTTTTGTCATGATAATTATTGCTTTGTTAGTAATCAACGTATTGAATGGCTCACTTTTCGTAACATTTCCTACTCAGAAGATTTGAACCGTTCAGGGATGGTTGATGATGGGGAACCATCTCGTATGGAGTTGGAGGATGCAGAGGACCTTTCTTCGGAACATATCGAGCAGGTCTGCTTCAATTTCCTATGAATTTTGAGTGTTTAAAAATTGTGCTCGGAAGCCTGTCTCATGTCCAGGCTTCAACAGGCGTTGATTTCTGCAACGTATCGTGTATGGTGGTGAACATGACAACGACGATCGTGTTTAATATTTTTGACTAATGGCGAGGCTCTTTACCACAGTACAAATTGTTTTATAAATACTGCAACAAAATTTGCTGGCGTTTTTGTGAGTGTAACTGATTCTTACAAGCGGTTATCATTTTGATACTTCCCACATCTTCTCCAGGAGAGCTTGTCAAATTTAATAGCTCTTAAATTCGCTCCCTGCTACTCCCTTTCCAGATTGGGGCAAGACATTCAAGTGAGCATCCCTTATCTCTTGAACTGGACTACAGCTTGTTGTGAGAGAGCGGTGGAGACAGGGTCAACCGTCACGCTCGCACTTTTTCAAAAATTTGCGACCCCCCACCACCACCATGAGACTCAGGAGGCTTCTCCAATACGCCCCCTTCTTCCTACCCCGACCACCACCCTCGCCATCATGGCTGTTTCTATTCTATGGTATTTGATTCTGAGATCAGTCGACACAGCCCAACTCCGCCCACTTCTCCTCCAAAACGGCCTCGAGCGGGAGAGGGGGGGGGGTGGTCGACGGACTACTTTAACTCAGCCCTCTGCGCTCTCTCGCGGGTCCCTCTCCTCTCCAAGGCTTAGTCCTAGGGCATTCTCTAATCGTCTGTGCTCTAGCCATCGCGGCAGGACCATTGAGGAAAAATCAAGTAGTCCGTAAACCGGGTGGGGGGTGGGGGGTAGTCGTTCTAAATAAACCCCTTTTAACGACCTCTGTTCGCAATTCTCAAAGACCGTTAATCTCGCTCAACCAAAAATGCGGCCATCCTTCCCGTAATCAGAAATGCCTCCTCCCCTTGTTCGAATATTGCGAACGGACGGTTCACCCTGGTGGACGATCGCCCCCACTGCTGTCGTTCCGTAGCTTATGGCTTTTCGTACCTCGAGAAAACGTATAAACTGTTAACCCCCATCCCCGTAGAACATGAGAAAGATGGCTGTTTCTCAAGACGTGTGTAGAGTGGCCCGACAAGAACTTCGTGCATCTCTATTAGTTGCGGTTTGATCCTGCAGATAAAGTTAAAATGTTCAAAGCTGGTACCGTACCACCTCTACCTTTATACCTACATTGAAATGGCCCCCCACTTGCCCAACTTCCACTTTTCTGGTATGTCATGAAGGAGCCTTACACTGTTAATGTATTATAGTGATCTGAATGATCTCAAGCTGTCTCTCATAAGAGGTTGGTAAGATGACACCACAGGAAAGCATGCGGCCTGCAGTCGAAACATCGCGCAGTCTGATTGTTAGCGCGGTGATTAGGGCAGAAGGAGGGCATATCGAATGAATATTCTTGGTGTAATTTAATTTTATTATATAAGCACTGTACAGTCCATATCTCGAACGTAATTAGATGTGGCCATTGATTTGACGTGGCGGCCGCCGCACTTGATAGAAGTTGCGCATATGAGCTGCTTCCAGCACGCTTCGCTGATATCTAGCGGAATGTCAGAAACAACTCAATGGCCCACGGCGCCTTCTATCAAGTGCGGCGACGGCCACGTCACATCCATGGACATGCCAAATCAGATTTCTACACATAGGCTGTAAATATTTGTATGAATACTTGAGAGATTACACGACAGAAACTTTTTTACAGTAGTATTGATGAATCTGGACTAAACCATTCTTTTATTCTCTGCACTCACTAAAATTACCGTCTAGGTTTTTTTCTCGTCAGTCTTTTTATTTCAATCTAATCATTTTTTTTTTAGGGTGATTTGAGTGCGATGACTCAACTAGGCGGCCCACTGATGACAATACAGGTAGTGCGATGCAGGACAGCAAAGCACGCTCGAAGTATGCACCGCGTGTTACTTTTGAATTTCTTTTTCAATCATCTCAATTTCAACTTTTTGGTGCACATGTTCAGCGGCAGAAGCGATTATCTCATTTGACGTCAACGTTACGGTCGCCCTAGATTTTGCCTAAAGGTCTCAACCATGAGCATAGAAGGGAATGTACCGGGGTGAGGTCAGTAGGACAAAGCGAATATGACTGGCCCTCACCGTGGAGCCATTCCACTTTTAGGCTTAGGCCCTTGCATCCTAGGAATTTGCGGGGTACCAAAAGCGGCGCTCATTGCACCCTTATCTCATGTCGAAAGAGTTAGCTCATCAATCTACTATATACAGCGAAATGATTTATTCTTGCAGTTTTTCCGATGCGGGAGTACCTATCGTTGTTGATGACTCGATATGCGCTCTGCAGGCTCATGCAAAGGATTGCTTTAGTATCGCTGTCGTAGCTGAGCGGTGGCTAGCTTCAGGTGGTGAAGATGATGTTGCTTTTCTCTGGGACCAAAATGTGTCCGGTAGGTTAGATAGTAACCGTTGCTGTTTATTACTGATGCATCTGATATCCAATTATTTCGCCTTTTAAAGTTCTCTCAAAGAAGGCTCCAAAAAAGCGCACTTTCAGATTCTGACCCAGTAGTGAAGATTGAGCACGACGATTCTGTGACTGGTACGTTCAGTTTCAATAATTCCAACCATTAACTGGCGACTGCTGAGTTAATGTATGCGAAAGATCATCATCAGCGCAGTTCTGGTGACCTGTCCATCTGCGTGCCAGAGGTAGAGAACTACTAATTTTTCTTTGGTGGGCAAATTCAAAATCTTTCTTTTCTTTGTTGCTGGTACTACTACCGGCTCTGTCGACATTGAAGCTGTTTTGTGAAATCGTTTAAGGAGGGTTTTGCAGCTCAACGACTGTAATGATTTGGAGTGGATCTGTTGGCACACTACAAGTGACATTCTTTTTGCTGGTGACAAGGACGGAATCGTGTGGATGTGGCTGATTGGTCCCTCAGGCGTCGCCCAGTCTAAAGTTGGTTGACTTCTGGTTTTGAATGTCTATATTTGTTTTATTATCATATGAATTATGTTTCATTTTCATCATTTTCATAATTACAGTGCTTTCCTCAATTCGGAGATTAAATGTTCGCATTGTTAGATAGAAAGGTTACTCTCCAACTTAAGTACTTTTTTAATTTTCAAGTTTTTAAGAGTGATGATTCGAAGAAGCCATCCAGTCTCTATTTCTCAAACCCTAAGACGGAGTCTGAACAGTGTAAATGCCTCATCTCTGTGCTCATAAGTAGGGGTTGGAGGAACTAAAATATTAACACGTTGACGACATCGCGCGTTTTGTGTTTTTGCACCGCGTGGGACCAGAGCGATTTTGCGAGCGCAGCCGCCGCACACCAAATCCATGGATTTTGAGCTGTAAATACGCAATACTTAGATGCGATGAAATGTTTTCAATGATGTTCGATCTGTCTAGCTTATCGGGAGTTACAGTAATGGAAGTTTGACCGAAATGACGTGTTAAGGCCATGAAAAGGGAAATTTTACTTAATTTCCCTTTAGTGGTTCCAAAATTAATTTGGACGTGGTTGTTTCAGTAAAAACACATATCTTCCCATACGAATAGGTTTGTATTCGCTTCTGTTATTCCTTTTTATCAACATGTCTACGTTATTGAAAAGAAAACGAGGAATGAACTGAACAGACATATCCGTAAGGTCTGGAAAATCTGCCAAACTAAAGAATATTTGGCCTTTCTGTGAGCCATGTGGTTTTTAAGTATGCTAATGTATGACCTATAGAATGAGTACAAAGACCTTAGGAATAAGTCGCACAAGCGCAAGAAAAAGGG